AAAAAACTTTAAGAAATGAAGGCAAAGAACTGTGTACATCTTGCTGTCAAACGCTGCCTGTCACCATGGAGGCAGCGTCTGCCCAAGCTCCCTCTCCTGTCCGGGTCCTGAGAGACTCTTGTTCATGAACTGCCTCTTCACAAAGCGCGTCCACCACTTGCTAGGCTTGTCATTCTGAGAGTCAAAAACGTTCTCACAAGCCGCAGTCCCGTCTCTTGCCTTAGCTGCTGCAAGAGGCCTTCATCACTTCATCCTCCTGCCTGTTTGCAGGTTTGGCATAAATGGCGTTCAGTGGAAACCCGGCCTCTCCGGGTATGGGGACATTAGTGATGCCCAGCATGTACATTTCTGTCTCCCCTTGGCTTCTGGAATTGCACTTCTGGAATTTCTTCAGGCATCCCAAAATGCAGAGTGATCTATAGCAAGATCCTGTCTGCTTCACTCTTAATTGCGTAGCTTTTGAAGAAGACGTTGGCCTTGAAGTAATCGATGGCCTCATCCACAATATCTGTACCTTTTGTTTCTCAAGGAGCAGGCCCTTTGAACTGACTTCGGATGGGTAGCAGGGCCATGTTTCCGTGTTTGGTGTCCCGGTCCACGAGAGGGGTGGTAGGCATCTTGAAGGCGCCCAGGCTGAGATTCAACTGGGTAATATCGAGGAGAGCACGGCGCTCCATTCCTCTAGTTTTGTAATGCTTCCCCCTACCCCCACCTCATGACGCCTTACAAATCCATGGAGACCAAAGTATGTACACTGGTACAGATAAGAGTGCTCGGCACACAGAATCCAGGACAAATAAACCTCTCGGGATCGACAGTGAGGGTAGTGATACCATGAGGTTAGGGGGAAGGTGGGGGAGAAGGGGGAGAAAGTGGGAACCCATCTCACATCTCGCTTGCCCAAGGCAATTAAGTCCCTGGTGAAAGGTGGGCTCTGACAAAAAGTAAAACGAGGAGGGAAATAAAGGGACTCTTTCTCAAGGCTGTTGTGGTGAATATGATGGTGGGTCATAATATTGGAGCGCAAATGGTTATGCTGCTCAGCTGCTAACCACGAAGCAGGAGGTGCAAGGCAGAGGTGCTTCAGAAGAAAGTCCTGGCAATCTAGTTCCAAAACCGCGCGATTGGAAACCGTGCTGCCCAGACACACATGCGGCTGCCAGGAGCAGGGATCAGCTGCAGACAACTGGTTAGGGGGTGGGGTTTACTTGTTCAAAAAGTGGTTTCTTTGTTTTTAAGAAATAGTTTTATTGGAAGCTCTTATAACAATCCAGACATCAATTGTATCAAACATTCCTATGTTGCCATCATCATTTTCAAAACATTTTCTCTCTACTGGAGCCCTTGGTGTCAGAGCCTCTCTTTTTCCTCACTCCCCCACCCTC